GATCTTTCCCTATACGCGCCTAGACGCCGCGTACGGGACCCCCAAAGAAATATGTTGGGAAACTATTTCGCGAACTAGGCAACGCAGAAAGCTGAAACTTTGCAGGGATATTCTCTATGTACGTGTGAGACAAAAATTTTAAACTCAGCCCTCTAGCTCCCCAACCACAGCCTCAAGCAGCTCCTGAATCCAAAAATCGTTAGCAACTCGGACTTGAATCGCAAATGTATATGCAAATGAACATGGATTTTTTGAAAAACGACCGTTCCGGGCAGTGCTTTCAATTTTTCAATGAATTAAAAATTTGCATACTTTCAAAAATTCGTTCGCAGCTCGGACCTTAACCGAAATTACATATGTAAATGAAAGTGCATTATTTGACAAACGACAGCTCGAGCAATACTTCCACTTTTTAGTGAACTGGAAATTTGCTTTTTTTTCAAAAAATTTGCACTTGTCGTTTTTCACAAAGCCAGTATTTACCGAAAAAACGACCGGACTTCATGCAAAAAACGGGTAATCATGCAACTCGATGTCCGTGCGGCTCTATAATGCACCGCCTTCATCTAAATTGGTGCCCTTCCTCCTGCATGCCGGTAGGGATCAAAGCACGGCCAATATTAGCCCAAGTGTTAGGCTACATCGTAGGGATCATTCCTGCTAATAGCGATCTGCGAGTTTAGCGCATGATCGCACCGGAGAGCCTGGTGCGTTCCAGCCTGGGTTTCACAAAGCGAGCATTTACAGAAAAAACGACCGGAATTCATGCAAAAAAAAAAAACCGGTAATCATGCAGCTGCATCTGAGCCGAATAAAACTAAGATCTGATAGTACGGGCTTAGTAAAAAAGAATTTACTCCTGTAATGGATAGTGTCAATCATCATGGGTCGTCATTTTCACTTGGTCATAGTATGAGTTCGCTGTTGTTATTGACATAAAAAGTTATCGATAATTTCAGGGATTAAAAATTTCACGCGAAATTTGAAGGAGATGTTGGGTTTCGAGCCGGGATACTACTGGCGTTTTTGCTGGGTGGTCGCTGCACCAATCTTTTTGTTGGTTCGTCTTGTGCACATTTTTGCAACAAAACTGCAAATACGTCTTAGGAATTTGGCAAAGAAAGTTCGATAGCCAGCATTTTATAAACAGCAAATGGATGTGACATACTGTTAGTGCTACCCTAACTAGAAGAGACGACCACTCGGATCGTCTTTGAAGAGATGGCACACGTGCGTG